TGACATTTAACACAACTCTCATGTCTTTAAGGTGCATATGGGGCTAAGGCCAACAGCTGTTGACATGATAGAAATGGTGCAGTGGCACAGCTAACATGACTGTCCAGAAACCTGCTAATACCTCTAAATTTCACAAATTGAAACGTTTGAATCTCAGGAAGAAGCATTGTGGGTTTTTTAGGGTTATGTGTCAGACTATTTCTCACAGGAAAGAAAAAACATAGCATGTAGAGCGATAAATCAGAAATTGTTACCTTTACACAGAGCCAGGCAAACAGTTTTCCTGTTTCCAGTCTTGATGCAAATGTACACAACTGCTTCTCTAGCTTTACATAGCTTTCTTAGTTCTTCATCACGAACGTCAACTGTTTTTTACACTTATGTCAGACACAAACTCAGTAATAGAAACGGTTTGTGTGTTCATTGCAGGCAAACGTCCTCACGAGTGTAAGATCTGCAACAAGGCCTTCAAGCATAAGCACCATCTGATTGAACACAGCCGACTGCACTCCGGAGAGAAACCCTACCAATGTGACAAGTGTGGCAAACGCTTCTCCCACTCTGGCTCTTACTCCCAGCACATGAACCACCGTTACGCATACTGCAGCAAAGACCAGGATCCAGACCAAGACCAAGATGACATGCCTCTCACACCGGGAGCGGGCAACAGTCTTGTGGGACGCCTCTCTGAAGACGCCCCTCTGTCACTGGATGAAACCCAAACTCCACACTCTTTTCTCAGTGATTCCAGTCTGGATGGAGCGCCGGATGCTCTCAAAGAGGAGGAGGAGGAGGAGGAAGAAGGGGAAGAAAGAGTTTGCGATGACCGTAAAGAAGGGGCAGATGTGAATTTGCCAGACCCAGCAGAGGAGCTGGGAGGTAACCCCATACAAGAATCACCTGCAGGTGAGAATGGAGTTCAGAGTGAGAGAAATAGATATGACATGCAAGATCATATTGACAATACAGAGAGCCAAACTTGGGACAGAGACACCGAGGACCGGAATGGAGACTTGGACAAATGTGAACTGAGTTTGGATTTAACAGAGTTACCCAGAATTAAAACTTAAGGTGACTTTAACCAGCCATTAAAACCCATTTACTATTAAGACTTGTTTTTTTTCTTACGTATGTAATAAAGACTGATTTTTGTTATTTACTTATCTTACAAAATGCACAGAACTGTCAAAGGATGTATGGCCTTATAGAGGACAAAGCCATCAATCAAATGTATGTGAGAATACGAGTTTCAAAGCGTTATCCTGTAAAATAGACTTGATGTATCTATAATATTTGCCTTTTTTCCTTTTTGTTGTCTTTCAGAACCTCTAAAAAAATGGGTTGACTAGTCTGAGGTCATGTCACATATCCAGATATGATGTTGTCTATTTTACATGCTTGCTGCTGCTGACTGTTGCACAACAAAAACAACAAAAAAAAAAGCATTTGTTTGTCCTTCTAAATCCAGGATTCAGCTGACTTTTTTTTGTACTTTATTTGTTTGCGTGTAGATTCACACCAATGAGTGGCCTTAGAAGCTTAAAGGAAGCAGGATGGAAAGACATCTGGTCTTAATTTAATGTGGCATCAAGGCCAGAAGTTAAAGGCTACAAGCAGATTTGCCACGATGTCTAGTTAGCATATTTATTCTCAAGTGCAAATAACTTTCAGTTTCTACTATCCTTTTATTTGATGCAAATCTTTACCTCTGTTTTAAGAATTAGCAACAACTGCAACATGTTTCCAGCTGAGATGCACATGCAGTTAGTCCTTTGTCCCAAAGCCGGCGATTGCTTGAGTATGTATAGTACAGGTTATATTGTAGGGCTCTTGACATTTATGCTGTGAAATTATAAGGTTTCAGGTTAACTATGCTGTTCTGTGGCTTTAACTAATCACCAAGAGTAAGAAGGGGGAAAAGGGGAAGGCAGAAGTGGGAGGTAGTTATTTATTTTTTAAAAAAACCAAAAGCATCAGACTGCACCTTTAAAAGTGTATACCTTGCTTGAGGACAGTCATTTCTACATTTCTGCATGAGAGGTTAAAGGGGGCAAAGATGAAGTCAGCCTTTGGGGTTTTTCCCAAGAGCAAGCAAATACAATTTGCACTGTCGCACTGTACATGTAATAATTACAAAGAGTGGCTTGATTTCCTTCAGTGCTGAAATGTCGGGCATTTCTCGTAAAAATTTTCATGTGCTTCAGCATGTTTTCACACCTTCTGAATAATAATAATGTGTCGCACTTTGTGGCTGTTTGTTGAGGTGTGGCAAGAGGGTCAAGACTCAGGACACATACATGAGCTTTTAACTTCCTCTTTCTGACTGCAGTGTAGTCAACGTGAAAAGTGCCTCAGATGTACTCTGACACTGTGAGTAATCCGACAAAGCCTTGCTACGATGAGATAAGACGGTGGTGCATGAGGTGTGACTAAGCTTGCAGCATTCATGCATACCTTGGGCCAAAGATGCTTTTTTTGGTCATAATACATTTGTGTGTGTGTGTGTGCATGTGTGTGTGTGTGCATATGTGGCACGCCAAGTGCCACCCCCCTCTTGTATAGTTCCTTACCTGATATTTTTGCTCCAAAAAGGTGAGCGAAAAAAAAAGTTTTACTTTCCCTCAGTGTCTGCACACTTTTTCATTATATCAAGTACTGTTTATTTTTTCCTAGCACTCATGCAATATTTGTATTATCTTTTATATATATATATTTTTTGCATGTTTGTGGATATTTGTAATAAAACTGTACAGACGTTTTTCAGCAGAACCTCTCATTTCCTTGATTTTTTGAATTAAACCTCACGATGTGGCCCCAAAATGGGCTGGTTTCTTTTTAGCAGTGTTGAAATCAGAAAGCACCTTAAAAGATTTTCTGGTCAACATCGCTATAAAAACGATCAAATGCCTCAACTTTTTGAATTTTCTGCTTAAGCACAAACATCTGCACAAGACCGTTTTGAAGCTCAGTTGTGGGGACCACTCAGTTTCCCATCACAGTAAACAGTTTCCATCAACACTCAAGATGTCGAGACTGTTTTGTTACACTGGCTTTTTTGTGGCTCTCTTTATTTGCATGATGATTCATCAGAGGTGCCTGCTTTGCGCTTGTGAACCTGTGTGTGTGGCTGGGGCAAACAGAGGTTGAGCAGTTCTGCTGATATTTGATACACTAAGCTTTAGGTTAACGGTAGTTTGGGTAAACAGTCAGCTAACCGTAACAATAACGAACCCTGCCAAGTGACGTGGGTTAGATACTTTTGGGTGCCATGCATCAGCGGCCTTCAGTAAACTGTTGCACTGCAGCACTGGCTGGCCCTGCTCTTTGACTTAGAGCAAAGTTGATACAAATTTTTACATTATAGTTTTTAAGAGGGCTATAACACCTCGGTTATGCAGCATCACTTGCGGGAAGGCCCAGTCATGGGTAACAGGTTGTCAGATTGAGTGCTGAGCATTTTTAAGTTTCAATTCCCAGTAACAGCTGAGTGACACACCGAACAGAGCTACAGATGTATTCCACTGGTGGGTGGATCTAACAATAAGATCAAGACATCTGTGTAAGCCATTATCTTCCTAAACTAGCATCTTTTCTTCCAACAGTAAGCTGAACCTAAAATTTACAAGAGTGAGAATGAAGATAAAACTGAAAGAAGAGAATTCAAACCTGAGCCTTAGCTCCACACTTCATTTCAGTCCGTTTAGAGACGCGCTGATTAGTGGATTCAGAAGGTTCCAGCTAATTCAAATGTTGATTGTGAAAAATAAATGATTTTTGATCAATGCAGAGAAGCACAAATCAATTCTAATTAATAAATGCCACACAGAATGCCAGCAGGAAAAAAATCAATCAGAAAAAAAAAAAAGAGTTGCGTGTGCGAAAAAATGCAGTTAAAAAATGCATTGGTAAACTGATTTCTCCACGAGCCTGCAGCACATCTGCTGTCTTGTCTGCATCCTGACACAAAAGCACAAGCTGTGTTTTGCTTTACTTTAAATATATATCATGCAATAAATAAGTCAAAGCAAGAACAAAGTAAGGATGATGTAATAGAGTCTGACTTTTGATGCCAACAAATTGCTGATTAGGAGCGAGGTCTGTTTGTTTCTGTCTCTGTCTGATTAGAGTTTTAGGGGCTGATTAGCACCATCGCACCAAAGCGAAATAAAACACATCACAGAGCTTGGTCTTGGTCAGACGGCGCTTTAATGCCATCTGGTTTCTACCAACAGAAATTTCTCTTCAGTTTCAGGATTAGGAGAGCATTCAAAAAACACATAGCGAGATATCGTTACGAAATATAGGCTGGATCACGTGCTTCCACGTGTTTACATTATCTCGGTGTCATAAATGGAAACATTCGGTATGATTTTGAAAGTTTGGATGAAGAAATAAAACAAAGAAATTAAAATAAACAAATGAAAAGCCAGCAGTGCTGACTGATGGCCATATTGTAAATGTAAATGCAGTAAATGCACACAAGCCACATGCTTTGTCTACGGTGAAAAGTTGATCAAATTTAAGCAGCAAACTGGAAGCGCACCATAGACTCCCTGATCAATCATCCGCACATAATCTTAGCCCCTCCCAATGTGCTCACATGACTTGAAATAATACAAACATAAAAATGAATAAATACATCCAATAAAACAGAGCAGAGCCCCCTCCACCACCACCCCCACAGCAGTGCCTCTTTTCTGCTCTTTTTTGTCTTTTGCCAAACCCACAGTCAATATAAAATTACCCAGGCCACAGAGTGAGCGAGTGAGAGGGTTTGGGGGGAAAATCCACATTTTTAAAACATATGCATTTCCAGTTCCTCTTTTGTTCTGTTATTAAAAGCAGCATTTGCACCAATCACAGGGGATGCCTCCGCCCGCCGAGTCTCCGAGGCCCGCATAGCTCCACACGCTTCTACTATCTCTCACACGAACCCATCGCTCAAACAACAAACAACCTGACAGGACACATCCTGAGCAAATATCATAATGCAGCTCAAATCAGTTTGTTCACATATTTTTATTGCAGGAGGAGTAAACAGTCAGATCCAACACTCTTCATTTCAAAGCAAAAGTATCAGTTTGAATTTAGCTAATTGTAATATTTAGGTTGAACACTGTATGCAAAGTGCTACTAGATGAGAAAGACAGTATTTCACATATTTACAACAATATATTTAACTTAACATTAGGAATTTGCACTATTAAAAATAGAAGACAGATTCAAATTAGTAAAATAAGGGTTGCTCTGACACTACAAAGTACTATTTGGTAAAAAGGAACATTTTCTGCCTTGTTGGCACATTCATCCTGCCACTGAATTCATGCTTTTACTTTTTTTTCCTTCAAATAAACCCTGCAAAAATGGTGGAGATGTGGGCACCTGTGCACGTCTATCCAGGCAGGATCTGTCCATCCTTGTTTGAAGAGGTGCTGGTGCATGTGTTTTCACAGTGAGATGGTTTCGCCAAGTTTTGTTTCAGTGCTAGCTTAAGACACATTCCTCCTCCCAATCCTCGATTATTACCGACTGAAACACGCTAGCAGGACAGGCTGGAGAAGATTTATCGCTTTTACGGCTTTTTATTTATCTGGATCAAGTCTGAAACATCAAGGAAAAGTGACAAGGAGGCGTCTGTTCCAGCAGTGAAGTTCACCGGGGCTGGGCTCCACATCTGCAGTCAAAGGCACAAGTACTGGAGCTAAAATTGGCTTGTTTTACTATTATTGTTTTAGCATGGCTTTATATGGACGCCAGATGTCATGATTAGCAGCTTTCTGTCCTGGTTCTTTTTAACCCGTAATTATCTTTTGATGTGAAATCCATTTTACACCATATGAGTCAACAGGCAGGGAAGACAAATGCTCCAAAACTTGTGCTTTTGTCTGATGTCAAGGAGCAAAAGATCAAGAGAGGCCTCTCGTTCCGAAGATGTGGTCAAATTCGGTGAGGATGAGCTCCACTGCCTGATTTTGGTAAACCATGTTCACTGCCATGTTGCCGTTATCCCGCTCTGGGCGCATCAGCGTCGGCCCGAACACAATGCCGATGTTCTGGGTGGTCATTCTGTTCGTTTCAGATTGCTCCAACACTCTGCGGGAAACGAGAGAGTGGACAGCGCAGGTTAATAACTCCTTAAATATTAAATTTTGCCGACAAAAAGGATTTGGAATCGCTTCGGCTTCTGAATTTTTAGAGACACGTGCTCAGTGATTCTAGGGATGTCATCCATTCCCACCACATTAGCTCAGACTGAAATATCCCAGCAACTAGTGGATGGACTTTACTGACTTTGGTGATCCCTGACATTTCCTTAAAACCATCATGAGGTTGACATTTGTGGTTTTGAGTGAAAGGTCTCAACCGCTGTTGGATGGAGTAGCACTGAAGTAGCTACACATGGCACAGCTCAGGATGGGCGTGAAACATTTTGGCTGGAGTCATGATCAGATTAAAGTTTAACTAATCATCAAGTGTTATCCTGCTAAATCCCTAAACTGAGAAAGTGGACGCGGCTATAGCAGCGTTAGCACTGCTCTTGTGCTCGTGTTGGCATACATCCATTAGCATTTACTTTCACAGAGTTGCAAGCACAACTGCAGACTCGTGTCAAGTTATAGAGCAAGCATAGAGACCACAACTAACCTTCCCCTAAAGGTTCATGTTTGTGGTCACGATGTGACATCTTTATAATTTTTACTTAACTCAGGAAGTCAGCTACAAGAATCAACTTGTATATCCATCTGTCACATCTTGCTTTTGCATCTATTTTCACGTACATGCATCTGGGTTTTATAACGTGGATCTGTGCACAAAAGTGTTCTAAATCCGCTGCTTGCATCCACCTATGCTAGCGTATGTGTGTGTTACAGTGTGTGTGTGTGATTAGGGGGGGAACTAAGGAATGGTTAAAGCCACAGCATGAGGCATTCTTCTAAAAATGCCATTCCCACCAAGCCACAGAAGCAGCCAGCAATTGCTCAAAACTTCCACATTAAAAAGAGAGGAGGAAAAAAGGGAGAGAGGAGAGGGAAGAGGGAAAAAAAGAAGCGAGCGAGGAAGAGGGAGAAGAGAGAGAACGAGAGAGAGGTTCCAGTGGTGGCGGCGGTGGTGTTGGTATGCCTTCCAGCAGACGAACCACAAGGCTCCCATGGGACCTTCGAGGCAAGTAGGAGAGCGAGGGGGGGGAGGGAAGAGCGAGCAGGAAGAGGGAGAACAAGGAGAAAGGGATCAAAAGAGGAGGACATAAGGAGGAAGAGGAAAGGGAGAGTGAAAAGAGAGAAAAGAGGGACAAAGAGGAAGTCAGGAAAGGTGGGTAGCGTGCCAGGAAAAGAGGAGGCGAGGGACCTGATTAAGGAGCGAGATAATAAATGAGAAACAGAGAAAGGAATGACAGCGGAGAGAAAATGAGAGAAAGACACAGAGTTGACAAATTCATGGGGCCCACCACACCCTGGCACAAATATCGTCCTCAGAACACGAACACTCACCCCTGGAGTGGAAGGAAAAACCATAGGCGGTAAAAAACACACATTTTATGTACTGTAAAAGGAACTGGCTCGCAGAACATTGTACACCATTCATCTTCCTCCAGCCTTTTCATCTTCACAGGGACCCAAAGTTAACAACAGTGTGATCCCGGTTCAGCGCTGGCATACTTTGAGAGCTGTGGCCAAAGAATCCCCGACAGAAATTTCGGAGACCAACGAGGGAAGTGCCCCCTCTTGTGGTCAGGTTTTAAAAGAAAAGGAAGATATTTTCCTTTCCTACCAGGGCATCTGGTTCATTCATTTGTCCCTAAATGCCTCGAGGAAATACCCAACATTATGAACTCTACCCATTTAAGGGCACTGGAACCATTACAGGCAATAAAAACAGGCACAGACTAAAGAAAAAAACACGAAGACATCAGTAGAATAAACACTAGACGTGGGTTATTCTCACCGTTTGAGGTGGCGGCACATGAACTGTAGCGTGTCGTGGTTTGGAGGAGGCATGTTGAGCACCAGACACTTCAAGCGATCGATTTTGTCCATATAGTCTGACATTTCTGCAACACAGAGCAAGATATGCATCAGATCAGGCCAAGTGTCATCATGCATTTTATTAGCATTTTTAGACACATCCCCCAACTGATATCATATTACGAGCATCCGCTATCTAATCGGATACACTTTATCTGCAGATCAATCCATGTGCCCACAGTCTACAAAAAGTGTCCAATGCATCGATGACAAAATGCATTTTTAAAATATTTTCCTGATCTTTAATATGCTAATGTTCTACTAAGAGGAATTACTGTAAGATACCAGATTGTCTGCCTGCCTGTCTTTAAGCATAAGTAGAAGATAATGAGATAAAGTGCCATATCATGTAAGCGCAGGAAATCTGAACATAAGTAAAGGAAACGCAACTCTCACTGTCAGCAAATTCTCACAAAAGATAACAAATAAAGTGAAACTAATAATAAGTGTTTGCTGGAGTCGATGCAAAAAACTATTTAAGAGTCATTCTGACACATCACTGGCCTTTTTTAATTGAATATTTGTGGCTTTTTAAGATTCACATTTTAAGGAGGGAAAAAAATGTAGTGCATGTGAAAGTAAATTATAAAATTATTGATCGTTTTACGGCGTCTGTGACAAGTTTCCAGTTCAACTCAAACAGAGCTTCACAAAAATGCCTTTCAACACAGCTGTGTGAGAAAGTTTGAGGACGTAAAATGTAAAGATTTTTATTTATCTACACATACAGTGGGGCAAAAAAGTATTTAGTCAGCCACCGATTGTGCAAGTTCCCCCACCTAAAATGATGACAGAGGTCAGTAATTTGCACCAGAGGTACACTTCAACTGTGAGAGACAGAATGTGAAAAAAAAATCCATGCATTCACATGGTAGGATTTGTAAAGAATTTATTCGTAAATCAGGGTGGAAAATAAGTATTTGGTCAATAACAAAAATACAACTCAATACTTTGTAACATAACCTTTGTTGGCAATAACAGAGGTCAAACGTTTACTATAGGTCTTTACCAGGTTTGCACACACAGTAGCTGGTATTTTGGCCCATTCCTCCATGCAGATCTTCTCGAGAGCAGTGATGTTTTGGGGCTGTCGCCGAGCAACACGGATTTTCAACTCCCGCCACAGATTTTCTATGGGGTTGAGGTCTGGAGACTGGCTAGGCCACTCCAGGACTTTCAAATGCTTCTTACGGAGCCACTCCTTTGTTGCCCGGGCGGTGTGTTTTGGATCATTGTCATGTTGGAAGACCCAGCCTCGTTTCATCTTCAAAGTTCTCACTGATGGAAGGAGGTTTTGGCTCAAAATCTCACGATACATGGCCCCATTCATTCTGTCCTTAACACGGATCAGTCGTCCTGTCCCCTTGGCAGAAAAACAGCCCCATAGCATGATGTTTCCACCCCCATGCTTCACAGTAGGTATGGTGTTCTTGGGATGCAACTCAGTATTCTTCTTCCTCCAAACACGACGAGTTGAGTTTATACCAAAAAGTTCTACTTTGGTTTCATCTGACCACATGACATTCTCCCAATCCTCTGCTGTATCATCCATGTGCTCTCTGGCAAACTTCAGACGGGCCTGGACATGCACTGGCTTCAGCAGCGGAACACGTCTGGCACTGCGGGATTTGATTCCCTGCCGTTGTAGTGTGTTACTGATGGTGACCTTTGTTACTTTGGTCCCAGCTCTCTGCAGGTCATTCACCAGGTCCCCCCGTGTGGTTCTGGGATCTTTGCTCACCGTTCTCATGATCATTTTGACCCCACGGGATGAGATCTTGCGTGGAGCCCCAGATCGAGGGAGATTATCAGTGGTCTTGTATGTCTTCCATTTTCTGATGATTGCTCCCACAGTTGATTTTTTCACACCAAGCTGCTTGCCTATTGTAGATTCACTCTTCCCAGTCTGGTGCAGGTCTACAATACTTTTCCTGGTGTCCTTCGAAAGCTCTTTGGTCTTGGCCATGGCGGAGTTTGGAGTCTGACTGTTTGAGGCTGTGGACAGGTGTCTTTTATACAGATGATGAGTTCAAACAGGTGCCATTCATACAGGTAACGAGTGGGGGACAAAAAAGCTTCTTACAGAAGACGTTACAGGTCTGTGAGAGCCAGAGATTTTCCTTGTTTGAGGTGACCAAATACTTATTTTCCACCCTGATTTACGAATAAATTCTTTACAAATCCTACCATGTGGATTCATGGATTTTTTTTTCACATTCTGTCTCTCACAGTTGAAGTGTACCTCTGGTGCAAATTACTGACCTCTGTCATCATTTTAAGTGGGGGAACTTGCACAATCGGTGGCTGACTAAATACTTTTTTGCCCCACTGTATGTGTGTGTTTACGCAAATGCTGCATCAGTATAACGATATAACATTTTCTAAACATGGAAAGGGAGTCGAGTGAAGTGTGAAAACAAAGTGAAAACGATTTAAGATTCTAACCAAGCCTACGCTGGTTTTGACTCAGTAAGACCACAGTCGTGTTGTGTGTATTCAAAATACTACAACAGAGGAAAATAATATGTGAAATTAAAAAGTGGGCGTCCTGGTGGTCTAGACGTTTAAGAAGCTGACTGTGCAGCTGCATCGCCTGGACCATTATTACCAAGTAAAAGGCACGAAATGACAAATATCTTCCTGAGCCTAAATATATCTCACCTCAAACACGAAGCACATTAAAAATTGACTTCATGCGCACGAGGCAAAAGGTTATGAGAATCTATTTGAGTTATTTTCAAGATGGGGGTGGGCGATTCATTTTCCCAACGGAAACAGGGACTGTGGTGGAGGGCAGTCCCAGTTTTCCGGTCGTGTGGGAAAATTAACTTCACACTCCTAATCTAGAATATTTATACAGATTACAAAATAAACAGTCCGGGGCTGAAACTGGTTACTCACTGACTGTCTCCACAATGTCGGTGAAGAAGCCGTACGGCACGAGGGGCTCGGGAAGCTCGCGAAAGAAGAGTTTCAAAGCTCCCGTGATGACATGTATGTCCTCCCACTCGCTCTCGTCCAAATTCAACTTCTCCTCTGAGACAGAGAGGGAGAGGAGGAGGATGAGGAGAGATTCAGCCAGACGGGGTCAGGGGAAGTGAAGGAAAGGCGAGAGGGATACGACATACAGAGACAAAGAGTTTAAATTTAGAGTCACAATTGTCACAGGATTGGCTGACATAAGCAAAGTGTAAATTCACTTCAGCACTGAGGCGTAACATGAAGGCTTGTAGCTGCAGGAGGGAGATAGAGATGCTCTGTAAAAGTAACAAGCACAAACACACTGGCGCACAAGTACACACACACTTTAAAGGATAAAGCACACTTGTTTTTTAGACACAAGCCAGACTAATGCTTCTCATGTTGGATTATAAGAGGCACTGAAACGAATTTGAGGCTGATATTGATATACGGCAGTCAACAAATCTCTATTTTCTTATGATGTGAAACATCAGAGATGTTGCTGGGGGAGTAGAGCGCTTCACGAGCAGCTGATTCTCTGTTTCAGCCACTTGGTGGCAGCCACGGACTGTGTGAGAAGCCGCTGTACAACCTGCTGCACATTATTACATCAGAAAACTTGAAGCACAAAAGCCTAAGGGACACACATACATTAAGCAAATGGTAACACACACATCCACACAAAAAAGAGAAAAGTTTGCTGCCCGTCTGCGCCTCGGCTCGGCGCTTCAGTCTGTGGGTGAGTATTTTTGGGAGGTTCTGACTGAGGTGTTCACATTATGCAACACGTAATGCACAAAAACCAAGCAGGCTGAGTAAGATGTGAAAACGGCGGTTTGCCTTGTCTGCCCGAATGTACCTTGTACCAACTCCGCTGGGAACATGTAACGGCCATCGGTAGTCACCGCTCGCTCTGCAAAAACCAACAGTTACTCAGGCAGCTTTTCCCCGTGTCTGTTATCATAAGGATGTCGTGTAGTGTGGGACAGTGACTGATTTCAAACATTATGTTACGCACTCTGAAACAAAACATCATGAGATAAATTTAGTCTTGATTTTAAGCGACTGAAACAGATCATTTCTGCTAAAAAGGAAAAAAAAAAAACAGGCCAACTTTGATCCTCTCCTAAATTTCTTCATATTTCCCCCCCTGTTATTACAGAACAGTTATCGTCAGTAGTTTCCCACCCTCCCCTGCATCCTTACCGTGGTTCACCAGAAAGCGCAGTTTCTGTATCACAGCCAGGTTTCCTGATACTCTGTAGATGCCGTCGGTCTCCAGACCTGCAACACACCAAACAAAGCATGCTAGACAAGGGGATCTCCACCGCTGCCTTAGATAATCAAAGTCAAAATGAAAGTATCACATGACCATGTTTTTTAAGATTCATGAGTGATAGAGATTGTGTCTTCAGTTGTGAGCCGGTCTGAGCTCACTTCATTGTTTTGCTGTTCTTGGCAGCCAAATCTTCTGCAAATCAATAATTCAGTATGCAGAGGTTATGCAGTTTGTTATGTTGCGTAAGTGGAGACGTAAGTAGAGCAGTTTTCAAAACCTTAAAAAAAAAGTCTGATCATGTGCTCATGCAAAAGCATAATCATGGATATGACCAGGCCTATGAATACATTTAAACTTCCTCTTCGCGTTTCACACCATGCTGCTCGATGAAGCAGTTACAAAGGAGTACTAATGCTCTAAGTTTCAGCTTTCCTCACACTGCTTTCAGTATTAGAAGCTGTAAAACAAGCCTGACATTTTAATCTTTCGGACATATTGATTATAAGTATCCTGCGCTGACGCTGCTATTGAGCATTTTTCTTTCTGTAAAACCATCACGTGAAATGGTTAACTGTAGCGTGACCTTTAAATAAGGCACACCGCTTCACAGTCACTCGCTAACACTTAATGTTTCATGTTGCTGGAACTGACTTCACTCAGTCACATGAAATCTAAATCTGCAGCTGGTTACTGGCTAAAGCTGGCCTGGTGAACGGGATACATTTCTAAGTTAGAAAAATATTTTTGTTATCCAGCAACTTATTTATTCAGATTAAACTATAATCCAAAACCACACATTGCTTTACAATCTGTTTTAAATATGAAGAATCAGTTAATTATGTAACCACTTAAAATAATCATCAACTGGTCCAAGCTTCTCAGATGTGAATAAATTGCTCATTATAATATCTTAGTCATCTCTGACATTCAAATGAATTCATACAGGCTTTGAAAAGTTGGTAAGACGAAGAAAAAGGTGGGTATTTTTCATCCTGCTTTAACTAGTAGTATGGCAACCTGTATACCTAACACTTGGGAAAAGATCAGATGCTCTTAATTTCATTATTATATATGATATGTGCAGAAATTATCAGTAAAGTTTGGCTTACTTTGTCCTAAAGTTTGTTCCATACCCTTAAACATAGTTAAAAGTCTTGATCTGAAAGTATTGCTCCCAAGACATCTTTATTTATTCATCACAAACTGGTTTTTAAAGCCCTAAAACACACATTTTCTCCCGTGTCTTAAATATTTATCGCTGCATTGTTTCTTAACAGCCTCTAAACAACTCAATTTTCTCTCATTTAGACCTTTTTCAGGCTGCCAAGCTGTCAAGATCTCTTCTGCGAATCTGAACATTTCGTGTCTGCTTTCTGTCGGGCAATCAGTGACTTTGTGTTTGGTGAGTTCTGCCAAAGAACTGTGAGGACCGTGAGCTCAGAGTTGCTGTCAAACTGCGCTCAAAACAGGGCTGAGGGTGATTTCTCATGTGTTCACTTTGAGTTGGGAATCAAATTAGCAGGAGGTGTGTTTGCAGCGACTGTACCTCTCCTTTCCACAGCTTCAGTACAAAGTCTGACGAAGCGAGGGACGGTGCTTCTCTCCCTCTCACAGAGCATCTCCAGACTGCATCCAAACACCTGATCTGAGGGCCGATGACAGGTGGACACAAACATGCTTTTTATGTCTGTTTAGACGTGTTTCTCAGATGATTGCATGCACATTTTTTTTTCAACCAAGACATGATGTAAGAGCTCCAAGTTAATTTACTGATAAGTTTTCTGTTCACTCTGGGAGAAAACCTTCATGTTTGACTCCGTTCCCACCAGAAAAGTTAACTCAGACTGGATGATGCAATGCAACTCATGCCCTGTGCTGTATACTTGTATACTATCGTTGGACTATAGATAAATGCTGAGACTTCCTGGCTGCCTATCTCTGATGGAATTCAGTTAAAAGGCAACAGTTTCTGCTGTAAGAGCACAGCCGTGTAATATTAATAACTAAGCCAAAGAGAACATGTACTTTGTGATTCACCCTGTATACTGCTGAATAAAGGATACTTGCATTTAAATGGTCTGCGACTTCAAAAAGAAATCTCACCTTTAATGAGCCCTTTCTCCTGCAGGGCCTGTAGAGGAGGTCTCTTTAGGATCAGCTTCTTCAGCCGCGTCTTCACTCTTTTCCTCTCTGTGTTTTCCAGGTTGGACGTCGAGCGAGGGACTGCAGAAGGAGGGAAGCGGGAGGAGGAGGAAGGGAAAGAGAAGGAAGAGGAGGAGGTCAGTGTGGGGCATTCGGCTGTGGGGCAGGAAAGCAGATGAGAGGGGATGGTGGTGAGAATGAAAAGCGGGAGGGCGGGCCGACGGCGGAGGTGGGAGAGGACGGACGAGGGGATTATCTGCCAGGGAGGATGGGTGAAAATGTAAGTGGGCTGGATAGAGGAGAGGATGGAAGACAGGATGGAGGGATGCAAGAAGCCTGTGTGGAAGTTTAGAAAAAACAGTGATGATGATGATGATGATGGAGAGAAAGGATGTGATTAAAGTGGAGTGGGGGGCAGGGAGGGCTTTTAGATGGTGGCATCAGGGAAAGAAGCGAGGCATCAGGTGAGGATGGCTTACGAGATGGTCGCCTGTCGTCCTCGTCACCGCTTTGGTCCAGCATCTCCACGCTGCCCGCCCTCCTCAGAGAGTACAGAAGGACGTTGTCTAACGGATTCTCACGGTCCTGAAAAGCAGCCAGAGGGAGCAGTGTGTTAATGACATTACAGAGATGCACGTGCAATGTTCCCTCTAAGCTGGGCGCAGGCGCAATTGCGCACTGCTGGCACGGTCTCTGCGCACAGAAAAAAAAATCTAACCTGAATTGAAATTAAAATTAAAATTTCAACAATTCTGTTTTGCAGTGTGAGTCAGTCAGTGACTGGCTGCTCCCGTATGGGATTAGAACGATGCCACCTTATCCCATAGTCCAGCCAATGATGCGATTCACATTCGTATATACGCAGCTAATCAACGTCGTTGACAGGCTATGACAGCGTCCTTGTGTGCCGACACCGGTGTTTTAGCTGGCAAAGCGGCGTGGCTGATGTGGAGTGAAGCCACGTTAATGACAACGTTTACAACCATTGGAGATGTGAGCAGGACAGACGGAACAACTGACGGGAAAAGTGTGGACTTTATACCAGTTTTTAAATTGTGTTGATCGGCCACGTAAAACCAGAGTTCTGATAAATTTTTTTGCAATGTTTGGTTTTCTTCCTGAATACTGTCGTTGTTTATATTTACTGCGGGAAGAAACGGTAAAAACTGCGTTTTATAAGGAAAGCGCTCTCCACCTGTGAGCAAAGACGAAACCAAAACACCCCCACCCTTTCCTACTGGTGGAAAAATGTACCATGTCGACCAATCAAAAAATGATATGGCAACATAGCATTTAGTTTTTTAGGAAGGGGGGAAGTTTTAGAAGTGACGGCGGTGTTTTGCGATGTGAGAGATTTGTGACGTTTTACGCAAATATTGTGTAGTTAGTGTGAGTGTAGTCAATAGTTTTGTTGTGTGTCAGAACAATGAGGCGACTGCTGAATGTTACAGGTGTTACAGCAGTGATACATCTGCTGTTGTCAGGCCTGCAGGTATCAGGCTGTTGTTCTCCTTTATCTCATAGTGGACAAATTATTTTTTGGAGCGGCACAAATAATTTGTGTGGCATCAGATTTGATGCAGAACAGCTGATTGTTCTGTAAATAGTTTGAAATGTTTATTTAAAAAACCGCCTTGGCTGCATTTTTAGGTAAACAGCTGCAAAAAACTTTGTTGTTTGCAAAACTCAGTAACTTTTTTTGAAGAAGTAACTGTATAATTAATTGCCCAACATTCATTATTATATACTGTATTTTGCAGACAGAGAGTTACAGGATTCTCTCCCAGACCACAGACTCATAATACAAGTCAGCGCTTTATAAAAATAAAATAAAATAAAATAAAATAAAATAAAATAAAAGAAGAAAGTTGTGTTTTCAAAATTGGAGTTCAAGTGATTTTTACTTCCAATAGTGTTAACATACTACACAGGTCATGAACAAGATTGCTTTTTAATTTTCATTGTAAGTGGGCTAAAGCAGTTAATTAAAAGTAGTCTAACATAAATGTAAATGCTGTAATTTGATTACTTTAATAAACCATGTAACTTGGATGGATTCGATGCTGGCGTAACCACAGTGCACACGTCTGCTGTTGCTCACAGTGGTCCAAGGGACCACTTGGAGTTTGTGTGTTCGCTCAGACACATGAAAACATTGCACATAGGTGTATTAGCCCACTTAAGTAGGTTTTAGAAAGCTCACGGAAAAATATTTACGCACCGACAAATATAGAACAGATGATTTTACTAAACGCAGAATGGAAAGTCAGTCATTGTTCAAAGGAAACAACTATGTTAGCACACATGAATCATTAAAAAAAACAAACATTTTTTGCAGAACTTCCCGCAGTGAAGCTTTTCTACAAGACAAAGATTATTTTTAAGTGCTTTACGTAAGTCATAAAAGACCAACATTTAGAAATGGAACAGAAGTATTTAACCTCTTCAGGCATGACTTCTTTCTTGGGATACATTTTCAGTTTCTCCTATTTAAAAGTTTAAAAACTAACCATCATCTTTGAACAACAGGGTTTTTTTCCTTTAAAAACCTTGATGTCCTCATATGAGACAGAGGGTTTATTAAACAGCATAACACAAAACAACACCATTGTTTAATAAAGTAAAAAACACAGGAGGTTATTTAAAATCTTTTACAGAGTTTTACAGGTAAAATTTTCCAAATGCATGAGCAAAGTGAGCAACAGCATGCATATTGTAGCTAAAGGCAAACGACAGACATACTGACAGTAATATTTAAACCCACAGGGTTGTGTTGTCCAGCTGTGTGTGTCTGTGAGTGAATGTGTGTTTCTCACCAGCCTGTCGATGACATTCTGGATGGTGCTGTACCACTCTCTGATCAGCGAGTCCGTCTCTGACTGCAGAAGAAACTCGTTGCCTGTCACAGTCCTCAACTAACAAAACAAAACAAAACATTTGACCCATGTTAACTCCAGACGCACTGTCCCACTCTCCACTGGCTTTCCCACTCATCTGTGTGAATCCACTTTAACAAAAGTTGACATGTAAGTTAATTATTTGGACGTGTTGTAGTAGCTTGACCGTAATGTTATAATTAGCTCATCAGTTTATCAGATTTCTCTTTAAAAATATTTTTACTGCTTCCTCTTCGTCAGAATGGGTCACCGAGCTGGCGAAAGAAAGCTTCCCATTCTCGCTTCCCTCACTGCTGACAGAATAGCCCCAGTGTATATTCCCAGTGTATCAGCGCAAAGGAACATTTTGCTAAGGAAACTGACGTGTTTCGTTTCCAGGATCACAGAAATAAAAAAATTCTTGAGAAAGATTTTAAGAGGATGAAACCACAGGTCTGTCAAAGTTTCTTGCAGGTTTTGCAATCTTTATTTCACTTTTTGGGGGTTTTGTTTCTTACCTTGAAGACGTTCTTCTTGCTGGACAGCTCGTTGGCCCAGTGCAGTTTTGCTCCTCTTAAATCCACACTGCTCTCAGGACGACTGTTTCCCGGTTTCTGCGTATAAGAAACACATTTTTCTTTTACTCTCATGACTCAGTTGCCTGAATTGACCACTTTTTGTTTCTAAAAATTGGATTTTGTTGTGCAGCCTGTATTGCCCAACCTTCACATATAACACCTGTAACTGGTCTGCATGACCTCTTTAACTTTAACAGCACAGTGAACAAAAATATTAAAAACTGCTCTTTAACACAGGAGGCTACAACTACCAATGACTGTTAGAAAGAGCAGGCTTTTACAAGAATGGGATGAACATAAGAAAAACCAAAACATGATGGCAACTGTGGAGGCTTAAAAATCCTGGCATCTAAAGAAAACAGAAAAAATATTCATAAGTGTTGGATAACTGGGAAAAATCAATAGTAGGAGTGCTCCTGGTGTTCCCTAAACCACCGGTGCTTGTAGAAAGGAATAATGGTAAAAAGAACGAATGAATCACCAAACAATGCCATGAACAAATCCACATCCAGGCACTCAAGCCAGGTTTAGACAAGCAATAAAAGGCCTTCTTTTTGGTGGGCTAGGGACATAAAAAAAATATACCAAGGCATCAAAAAATTTGGCCTCTATAATATCTTGTTCATCTAGTTATACAAGCTTTTTAACCCCCAGGAATACAACATATGCGTTCTTATGAAACAATAACTAATAATAGTATTCATTTTCTAAAATACTTAATTAAAGAGTCTGTCTGTGCTCTTACCCAACTAGAAGGTGTCTGTGATTTGGGGTCCTTGAAGAAAACCAAACTGTTCCCCACTAACACCACCCAGGAAGGGCTCCAATTTTTCCTGCAACCCAACAAGAATGCATGTACTCATAAGCTGGGATTCACTTAGCAAAATCATACTTGCTGAATTAATCAAAAAAAATGATTTTTTCATCTTCTCTAAGAGCCGCCTCACCTCAGTTTTCGGCCACCTTCTGCAATTTTTGTCTTGTTCAGCAGGCCCGCTTTCTCCAGCTCCTAGAAACACATTAAAAGGGTTTAAAAGCACATTAACATCTGCAGTATTCAGAGATATTTACAGTGTCACGTTGGCAGCATTGCTCAGAAAAAGCAGGAGTGGAGTAAATAAAAAAAAGAGCACAAAGAAGTGTGTGAGGGCAAGTTGAATTTTAACATTACAGCACCACAGCAGGATTTTCCTCTGTGTAATATTACAGCATCCTTTGCAAACGCATTAAACTTGGCTGTTGCATCATTCAAGAAATAGGAGGAGGGGAAATGCTTTAAAATCTCCCACTGCGGTATGGCCCCGTTTAAGGTAAAAGAACAAATTTACTGGTATTGATGAACTTACGGCTCATAAGTGTTGAATATGGTATGCGTATAAAAGCAGTGATGACCTACAAACCTAAACTTCTTCTGCAAATGAACTGTGGTAGAAAAAAAATTAATACTCAAAAATTAGAATTGCTCTGTTTTATGAGAAAAATGTTAGTAAACCAAGAGAACACCTGCAAATAAGAGCACATGCACCTGATGTGTACAGGGTGCAACCCACCCCTCACACTATGATGGCTGGGATAACCTCCAGCTACCTCACATGCAGTAAAAGAAAAGGTTGATTGTCATTAAGGCAAACAAAGGAATGCGTTATGGAGAACCACTTTTTAAAAAATCAACCTGTTATTATTAGAAAATAAGCATTGCAGTTTTACACTTTAGGAAGAATTATTTGGCTGACAGCGCTGGATTTCTTAGAGCCTCGTTGTCCTGTGAAAGCCAAAACTTCAGCGCTTGCTGCGCTGAGAGAAGCAACTAGTAGCACGTTCTCCAAGTCCTTAAAAAAATATAAATATATATATGGAAATATGCTTTCACTTCAGCTTTAAATTAACAGGTGGAGTTTTCTCACCGGTGTGCAGCCATCACTTTCCGGCGAGCTCGCAGGAGACGGAGGCTCCACAACGATGTTGGTCACATTGCGGGAGTAATCTCTGCACTGCTGGACCAGCTGAAAAACAGGAAGCAGTGGTCATCTGCTCAGCTGTCCGTTTGTGTATGTGCATATGTTTTGTGCGATAACTATTTGTTGACGGGTATCTCCGTTTCCTCTTTCTCTCTGTCAAAACACTTTATGAGCTTGTGTGGAGCGTGTGCTCGGGAGGCAAATACCTTGTTGTCGGGCAGGATCATGGACTGGGAGTGGTTGAGTTGCTGCTTGACATCATGCAGGGGTGCAGAATCATCGCACTGGGTTCTGGTGTCACTAAATGCCATCGTGCTCAGGGTGTCAGAGGAGGCGGCACGCTGCATGCTCTTCAAGGTCAAATGTTCAGGAGAGTTGTGAAAGGGTGGAACATACAACCAAAGGAAAGAGCAATTTGCTGAACTATTATTTTATTTTTTTTCACATCTGTAAATGGTGTACTTAAAGCCTCTGAGAGCTGATATACTTGTGTAGTTCTGAATAACTGAATGTGCAACCACAGTACAACAGTACAAAGGCCCTGAAGGGCTTTTCAAAGGTCAACTATGACTCTTTATTAATGCTTAATAGTTTAAATAAAACAGAAAAACATCAGCCACACAAAGCCTGGAGTCGCAATCAGTCAGCCTGCTTCATCACACTTCTGATCTTCACTGTTCATAGGTGCTATGATAAAGATATCTCTTTATTGGGTCTTCACCTTTAAAGTTTAACCATACTGACACTGAAAGTAGTAATTCAAGTCAGCTGCAGTGGGCTTGTTTTATGGGGGGCTTTTTCGCTTTTATTTGAAGCACAGTGAAGAACAGACAGAAATGCAGGGAGAGAAACAAAGAGTTTGGACAGACATGCAGCAACGGGTGTCAGGTTAGGGTCACACGGCTGCATTTAACCCATTCAACCTGTGAGCTGGGCTGGCACCCACAGTGGCCTTGTTGACAAATATATTTTGTCAAGATAACGATTCTGATCTTTGCACTTTTCTCTGACAGAGATGCATAAAAGTCTATAAAAAGATGTAAAATAGATATTTTATTGCCATCATTTGTCCATTTGCATATCCTTCACCTCACTCTGCAGCAGCAAATTATACGGATGTATCCCAGCATCAGCTCTCTGAGAGGTTTAGCCTTTGACTCTCAGTTCTCTCTGTTGTGTTAGGTTGAGGTCAGAATTTAATTGTATATAGTTTAATCAACTGAGGAAGAACAACGTAGCAGTAGCTCTACTTGCACAACAGTGTCACATACACATTTCTATATTTACACAGCACTCCAACACAATGAGCATCCACACTGAACTTTTTACACAGATGGGGACAAATGAGTTTGCCAGAGACACAATGAGGCACAATACGTGCCTCTGCACTTAACAGACAAACTGCTGAGGCTTACAATCCCTTGTGTGTACAAAAACAACGGATGCACAAATTCACACTACTTTAACTTTTCATGCAGCAAAAGCCACAATTGAGTTTACTTCCCAATCCATGTAACCTAGTTCCAACAATCAGACTAAATATCCCTCCTAATGTTTGCCATCTCCTCATGTGGAGGATTAGCACTAAGAGCCAAATCTGCTTCTTTGCTAAGAGTAGGCCTTTAAAAGGGCTTTAAACCAAGTGCACCCACACCCCACTGTGATGCAACATGTTGCAGTAAGACCTGCTTGGGTAACAGCTTTTCTTTTTACACCAAGAATTGCTATTTCACCACCTTAATATGCATAAATGCTGATCTCTGAGAATCTAAAGAGCATAGCTGGCAATAACTTTAATATATTCTACAGTAATACAGCTCAGATGCACTTTTTGCAAATCTAATGACTTGAGTTCATTGATTTTCATGAGGAAAACACCCTCCACCAAAAGCCCTTAAAACGCTGACAAAATGCTCAGGAATATGTTAACAGTCGGGCCTGCAAAGGAAAAGCACAAGGCAAGGAAGGGCTGTCATCTAAAGGTTTCTTCTAAAGACGAAGAGTCAGGCCAAGCAGATGCTGTATGCACGCAAACCATGAAGCAGGATTTTATCTCACAAAGTGACAAAGTCGAGATGGGAGACAAAGTCACCAAAAGTTCTATGATGTCCCATTTTGTTAACCAAATGCATCCTGTTGTGCAGGGAGAGTATGTAAAGCAAGTAAAGGGCGCTTTAGTCTTTGACTTGTTTTATAATGTGAAAGTCAAGGTGAAATGCATTAGATACCCTCTGGTGAGCGCAGCAGGTAGAGAGAAGTTTTACCTGGTTCATCTGCCAGCCATTGTCAGCATTCCTCTGGTGGCTCCCAAAGAGGAAATCAGGTGACAGCTAACGAGAAACACAAGGAGAGAAAGGAGCGAGATAGAGGGAGGCAAGAAGACAAAGGCGGATTAGTATAGTTACCATATGTATACATATATATTTAATTTCAAATAAAATAACAGCCCATTTTATTTTCTGCAGAGAATGATCAAATTAAGAATCAATAACAAAAATGTAAAAACTGAGAAAACTGTACTTGTCACTATTGAAGAGAGGCAACCAGCAGTTTGGGCAAATATCACACCCATGTTAAAAAACAGGATACCGATACGATCGTTCAGTTAACTGTACAAATGAACCCAGGGCAACACTCATCTAACCGCACTCAAACTATTTTCCTCTGCCCTGCTCACATCCTGCCAGATAAAACACATAAATGCTTTTTTACTATCGCTGCTCAGACGTATTTACAGGCACACGTGTCCCTGTTCATTTTACGTTAATAAGAGGCAGATATTACTCAGTAAGAGTTACACGTTAATCGTGTAGCACTCATTTAACTCAGACACAAAGGCTCCTAGATACTGAACGGGGTTCACACCGACCCAAAAAAACACAGTCAAATGTGCTTTTTGTGAGTATAACAAAATCAGAATCATCACCTCTCATTAGGATAATATGAGTAAGTGATATCGCCACAATCGACAATTGGGTAACTTCACATGAGCTGCCAAAGCTCCAACAGTAGAATGTAGAACACACAGAAAAGTAACTCACAGCGTAGGTGCTCATTCTGACTGGATGACTGTATCCAGCTGTACCGTCCGGGCCAGCTCGTGTTTCTGTGTCTTATCTGTCGAGTTAAAGCTCTCAGCGTTCTGTCCTTTCATACCGTGACGCTCTTTCGCCTGAGTGTAAAAATGTGAAAACCATTCATCTGTCCCTTGTGCCTCAGCTCATGACTACTTCCCCATTCTAGAGGGAAGCTAGCTTTATCAGGCGATACAGACAGCCTCGTTTATAACAGCTCAGACAGGAAGGTGTGTTCTCAGCTCAATATTCATACCAGGACTTTGCTAACTTTGACACAAATACAGCTGCCCAACAGTTTTTGTTTGCAAGATCAGAGTGTGGCTTTTTCAGCAAGAAGCAACAACCATGTGTAACAACTCTCCATTATATATGAAAAAGTACAAAGAGTAAAAAAGTTCACAGTTCTGTGGTTTCTTGCTAGTTCTGCATATTTGGACTTATAGCTTTATAGTATGAGTCTGACAGTTGTTTAAACATTTTACAAATTAATAAGAAATTAAAAACAGTAAGTGGAACTGTTGAAAGTGATACGTGATGTGCCTCAAGCCAAACAGACACAGTATGCAACACTATAATTACAAAAAACAGTTTCTCACATCACGACTCATGGCATTACAAACGCAACCAGAAGCAAACAAACGAACACTGAGACGTAGCTGGACATCCACCACCCTAAATGTTTAATTAATGTTCAATAATGTTCAGTAATCTGTACTACATTTACAAGACCACATCTGACATCTGTGACATGACAGATAGTGCTGTTGAGGAGATGTTTGAGGTCTGCCTTCTGAAAACTTTGGTAACTGCTAGTTTTTATCAATAGTAATTCATCACATTTCATAAAATGTTTTGTGCAACCTGCGAAGACACAGCAAAAGAGTGTATCTGCAAAATGAAGCAGTGAAACGACCATCATCACCCTGAAACATCACCCTGGGATTTTCAAAATTCCCAGGGTGATGTCATCAAATTAACTATTTCATCTGACTCAGAGAATTCACATGAAACAACGCAGACGCAAATCCCTACAAGCAAGACTCAGAAAATCGTCATGTGTATAATTATCTTCATCATTTACAGATTTTTGTCAAGGTAGTTAGAAAGTACTAGGGGAAAAAAAGAAAAAATACACGTAATGCTTCTGTCTTTAACAGATGAGCTGTGTTAAAAAGGCTTTTAAAAATTAAAAGACTAGACTTTTAGAATGATCTGGGCCAACAAATAATATGGGCCACTTGGCTTTTAACACCTGGGTCATAAACCTGTGCGGCATGCAGTATGCATTGACACGTGTCACGGGTGCAGTTCCTGTTGGGTTGTATATGTACCCCAGAATAAAATGTGACACATATAGGTCAACAGTATGCATCTCAAACTGACTTGAAGGGGGGGGGGGAATCACTGCTTTGATCATGTGGGTATTTTTTTGATGAGCAACATTAAATTTGAAACACTGACGCAACAGTGAGGCAACGCAACCTTTAGATGCAAAATGCTTATCTCTAATAATCTGCATCAGGCTGCTTGCCTTGCTTCACCATGTAGATGTCGTCACAGATCCAGGGAACATGTCAATTTCAGACACTGACATCTGTTGCCTGAACTGAAAAAAACCTTTGCTATAGACAACAAAGTTACTTCCTCATTTGAACAGTATAAATCCTCCTTGTGTGTAACATGAAGATGAAATGAATGATGCCCTGAAAGTTTTTACTCTGACGACATCTGTGAGTTCAGGAGGTGGTTTGAGGCAGATGGTAAGTTTCACTGAGTGGTTTAAATTTAGTCCTGTTTTGTAATGTTTTGGGTTGAAAACGCTTTTCTGTCTGTCTCCGTGCGGCCCTAATAGCATGTGCTCATTTGCGGCACATCAAGAGGCGTTAGCTTGTCATTGCCTTCAGAGTTGAGCCCAATGAAACACATCATTTGAGAGAAAGGGTGTGAGAGGGCATGTAATAAATAGTTAGACAGCTAACTAGATAGCCAGATATCTAGATAGACGGACAGATTTGGTCAGTAACAATGAAACAACAAGAAAGATATAATCTCCTTTTTATGACCTTGGGGGCTGCCTATGGCTGCATGTCTGCCTGCTTTAATCTGGAGCACGATGCTGATCTTGTGCATTCTGGTTGACGCATAATATATCCATGTGAGAGAGGTGAGAGCGGTGTGTATGATATACAATCCACATTCTCTGTGATTCTGCTTTTAAAAAACTAAAATTAATAAAATAATACATGATTTAAATTTGGCTGACTGTCCCTGGATAGATGTCTCACTGTGCACCTCACATTCCAGCTCTCCCTCTATTTTTGGATTTCTTCCTGGAAGTTGCTCATTTGCGATGCTCAGTGGATCACATCCACAGTATTAAAACAGCAAAGCTTTAAGTTGGATTTCCTTTTTGAAGTTTGAGACCCACTTTCTGGTCAGTAGGGCAGACCGTGGTTCCATCCATTTTCATCCACTCAAACAATTCAGATTTGCAGGGTTGCTGGAGCCTGTCCCTGCTGACACAGGCCGAGAGGCAGGGTACGTGCTGGACAGGCCACTGGTCGATTGCACATATACACCTGCATGTTTAAATAAGGGCATGCAAATTCCAAAGTTGAGGTCCATGGTCAAATCCAAAATGTACATGTGCAACTGATGAGAAATTGATTTCCAGGAAGCTTTCTAAAAATAGCAGGAGCCGAGTAACTGGGAACAAGCCGGAGATGTGCAAAACATGAAGGCATAATTGGCTAAACTTAAATCAACCCCTTCTGCTACCATAACAGGCTGCACTCCTGTCAGCTAAGAACAAGAAACTAAAACTGAGTTTGTGTAAACTCAACAATTTACATGAGCTCAGCAAATCTGGACAGTAGAGAATTGGAAAAGATTGCCTGGTGTGATGAGGCTTAATTTCTGTTGTGATATTCAGATAGTAAGGTCAGAATGTAGTATAAATATCAGCAGTGACTCATCCAGCCTTGGATCAATGATTCAGACTGGTGTCGGTGGTTGTGTAACGGGGTGGGGAATATTTTCTTAGCACACTTTTAACCCTGAAGTACCAACTGAGCTCAGCATCTCAACTCACAAACCTACTCTAGGATTACAAGCAGCATCAAAGTTGTGTCACTATAAATTAAGCTAATAGGTTTTAAATGAAATGGCTTCAATATACTTGGATGTTACTGCCTCCCCAGAAGGACAGTATACTTACCCTGTGCGTTGTTCCATTTCCTGCTGCAGTAAGGGATAGTGACAGATGGCTGGTGTCCCTGGGTAACGTCTGAGGTTGTCCTGGACCGGCCTACCAAAGGGGCAAAAAAGTATATGATATGAAACAGGAAGGGCCTTTCTTAAACTACCTATTATGAATATTAGAAGATTGGCCTCCAATGTTATTATAAATACCCATTCACAGTTTTAAATAATGATAATAAAATGTAATAAAGTTGGGACCTTTTGTCAGACTGCTCTCTACGGCAAGTAGCAAATGGTATTTTCTAATTTTTATTTATTTATTTATTTATCTTTTGCTATATTTTGAAAAATAAACATGCTGAGGATAAGATTTCACAACTGAAACTACTTAATGTAAAAATTAAACTGACAGCAAATGCTGTTTCATGCAAAGTGAAATGCTTGACTGGTTAAAGGGAAAAAACAAAGGACATTTCCAGGAAATAAGCCAATAAACAGCTGAGCAAATAATCCTCATAAACATTCTTTTTAATTTACTGCACAAAGTGAACAAACAAAAAGGTGTGTGGACTTTGTTACATTTAGACAGAGTCAGGTTCACAGTGTCATTTGGCTTCTTCTTGTTTTCTCGTGTACATTATTCCAAGCTAACCAGTTAGTTGCTGCGGCTTAATATTAAACGTGCAATTCCTCATTTCACTTTCAGAAAAAACTGCATAGTTCTGGAAAGCGTTTCTGGCACAGTTTCAGTATGAAACACACGTTTACCTGTGGAGACTCTGCATGTACTAAACTGTTTTTCACTTATAGTATTTCTACAAGAAGAGACAAGTAAACATGAATGTAACCAAAATTTTCTGCAGAGCTTGTCATGTTGAAGTTAAAGAAGTTAAAGGCAGAGTTCAACAGCACAAAGAGAGCTGCTTATTTAGTTGATTAAAGTCCAAAAACTAAAATCTGAAACAGAGGCAAGAAGACCCCAAAATGTTACAAAATCAAGGTAAATCAGGAATCAGAGAATTAACGAGAAGGAAAAAGAAACAGGTGAGTCTGATCGAGGATAATGAGACGGGAAGTAAAACGAAAAGCAAATCACAAGACATAAGTTGTGCTTTCCAAGAAGTACGTTTTATTTTGGTGACAAAATAAAACAGGAAGTAGCTGAACACTTATTTGAGACACTAAGGGCTTTGTACTGTATACCCACGCAACGTGCGTATCATAAATGAATGTAGATGAGTGATGTGTTACCAGCAGGGAAACAACCAATGGTGGGCATGCTGGGGTCACGCCACAGGGAAACACTAGCAAACAAGCAATGGAACTCACAGAATCCTAACCAAGGTACTGAGCAAGAAAATCAAATGTAACAATAAACCTATGAACCTATGTAAAATTATAATTAAAAAAAAAAGAAACAAAAAACCCTCAAAATACCCAGCACAATGCCACTGCTTCTGTATGGGGAAAAGGACTTCTGGAAAGTTTTTGGATCACAAGAAAACACCAGATAATTTTAAGTTCAATGTGACCCTTTGCCAACGAGAGAACATGCATAGTATCGATCTCTCCTGCTGTGGATGTGTGATCGCCGTGTCTTCAATGCTCTGTCTACGTAAAAAGAAAAAATGACAACCAAGCCTTTTTTTAATGAAAAGGTCCCTTTTAGTGCTGATACAGTCAAACCATTTGAGCATATAAATGAGCATTCTCTTTCATTTGTACACCCTGACCCTCTTCTATGGTCTCTCTTATGAGAAGACACTTTCATTAAACTCTGGAAACTGGATTAAGGGAGGAAGAGTGAACACTGAAGGATTTCCTGTTGAGATGGATATTTTACCTGGTTGGTATATTGACCACGGGCCCGGCGAGGAGGTTTCCAGGACCTTTCTTTGGTAATGCTGTTGACATAGTACCATCTGCCTGTGGTCGCGTCACAGTACTGCTCCCATAGGCCCAAGATCTGAAGAGGCTGCTCACCTGGAGCGGGGCTAGGTGGCTCTGGCTGTGACTGACGCTTCTCTGTCTGCTTTTCAGTATAAAGTGGAGAGTCCTGCCAGGACAGCTGGGAGAGATAAGACTCTGTTGGAACCTTTTATGTATAAATAATAACAAGGGAAAGGAGAAAAGATAAGAGGGAAGGAAGTAGAGAAAGAGAGCCAAAGTGAAAAGTGTATAAGAAGGAAAAATGTGAAATTTAAATGTAAAAGTTGCTCAGGAAGGAATAAATATTGCATTATGAAGGAACTTGAGGAACTCTGCCTCAAACCAAAACACAACCTTCACAGACATATTGTGTACAGTAGTTGAGTTTATCTGGCAGGAGGATCATATACAAGTACCACATCGCACAGGATGCTTTATGTAAGACAGAAACTGCCAAAATCTGCTAATGAAATTAAAGATTAATATGCAAAGATTTAAAATGCAAATTAATAAAAACATGAACTAAATAAATTAATCAAACGGAAAATAAAATAGTAAGAAAAAAATAGAATGTAATGTAAACGGTTCCTATGTAGCACTTTTCTACCCTGAGCACTCAAAGTACAACTTGCCTCATTCACCCATTCATACAATCACTGTTTACTCTTGTTTTTCTACACAAGTCTTTACCATTTAACATTAATTCCATACATTAAAGGTAAAATGGTAAATTCTCAGGTTTTACATATCGTGACAAAAAATATTCAAAAATTTTCTAAATACAACCTCAGATGTAATACAAAACCCGACATATTAGAGTGGGATTATTCTTTTAACAAAAGCTAAACTAAAATGCAGAAGTAGTGTGCACACCCTTCCCATTTTCATAGGAATTAAGAGGATAAGTCGCAGATAGGTGGTGCTAATCAGACACACTTGATTAAGTGGTCATCGGCAAGAAGGTCTGGAGCATTCTGATGAGTGTTAAAACAATGCTACAATCTTGGTGCACGTCCCAGCAAATTGTCCCCAAAGCTCCACACTCTACAAGCCTCAGTGACGGCCGATAAAACCACAAGCCTCTGCAACAATGTCCTTCGAACAGACAAAACAAAAATTGGAGATGTCTGGTCATAATGCACATAAGTGCCACATGTAGAAAAAATCAAACACCTCATACCAGCTGTCAGCACAGTAGTGGAGGCGTGGTCATTTGGTCTTGTTTTCAAGTCACAGGACCTTCACACCTTGCAGTCACTGAGATGACATGAAAGCTTCCGAATACCAAAGCATGCTTGAGTCAAACGTGAGGCCATCTGTCCAACAACTAAATGTTCACTGAGACTGGGTCAACAGGATGATGACCCCAAGCTCACCAGCAAATTATAACAGAATGTCAGAATGTCAAAGTCAAGAGCGCAACCTGATTAAAATGCTGTGGTGAGACCTTAAGAGAGCTGTGCAAAAACGAATGCCCACAAACCTCAACAAACTGAAGCGATGCCCTAAAGAAGCGACGGCTGAAATTCCTCCAAATCATGTGAGACACTGATAAAGTCATACAGAAAACAACTACTTCAACTTACTGCTGCTAAAAGTGGTTCCACAAGCAACTGAGTCATGTTTCTTTTTTCCCCCACACACTGCTTCTGTATTTTGGGTTAGTTATAAATCATGACATAGCACAATACGTCATATGTTGTTGATCATCTCAGGCTTCATTTACCTCATTTTAAGACCTGGTAAAAACATTTTTTTTTCATGATGTCTTCGTATGTAAACCTTTAAAAGAACTTAAAGAAATGAAAGAGGGTATGCTTTCTTTTTACCATGACTAGTATGAAGTTAACTGACTTTTGGAGGCATCCTTATTTAACTTTTAATGCCTAAAATGTCTGCATTTTACTCCAAATTGTTACTCAAGTATTCTTACTCAACAACTCAACTATGGCGTATGAATAAAAAATAAGTGCACAGACTGGAAACGACTAACAGCAGATTGTTGTGGCTTCAACAAAGGCAGTCAGAAATCCCATACAGAAGAGACAAGAAGAGACTGAAATCCCATATAAAGCAATAAACAGAAAAAAATTAATCCTCTTATTACAGAATAACCTGCCATTGTAATAATCTGCACTCACCCTGGCAGAGAGCACTAAAGAAGCAGTTACAAGAGAAGGAGATCTATAAATCCACTTAAATGAATTTGAAGCACTAAAGATCATTTTTGTATCAAATATAGCTGAAGCATAATTCAGAAACTGATTGACTTACAAGCTGGTTGATCCCTGTTACGTAACACTGCCTTTCAGTTATTAACTGAAGGAGCATGGTGTGTGTGATGAGCAACGTGATGGTAGTTTACTCCAGGGGGCAGTAGTGAGCCTTTGTGTCACCCGAAGCTTCCTGTCCCACTGCTTACTTCTGTCTACCTCAGCAGATATAGCAAAACATCTTTCTTAACAAAGTCAAACAGAGCCATGTTTTACTACTGTGATCCTGTGCTGTAGCAGAAGCCTGAACATGCACATTAAATGTATTCAGCAAGTAAATGAATTCTCAAACAAGAAAATCAAGAATAAAGACAACATGAATCCAATCCCATATTCCCAAAACACTTTTTGACATTTTGTTTTGCCTTAAAATGAAAAGTAATTATATCAGACCTAATTGATTTCTCTCTCGTGTCTCCTACTTGCTTGATTTATAAACTGCACAAAAGAAAGAAAGTATACTTTATTGATCCCCGTGGGGAAATTCCTCTCTGCATTTAACCCATTCACTCAGTGAAGCAGTGGGCAGCCATTGGGCGCCTGGGGAACAGTGTGGAGGGACGGTACCTCGCTCAGGGGTACCTCAAGATCAGTTCGGTGGATTCAGTGGATCATGGGGCAACCACTCTACCTACTGAGCTATCCCTACCCCAAAAGAGCCGTTATCAGTGTTATTAATCATAAATATGTTTTGCAACCATTGTTTTTATCTATTAAAGTGAAACTGTCACACCAGTGACATCACCTGTAGTGTATATTGTTGAGCTGTTTGAACATAAGACACTGTTGTGCATCATTTCTTTCTCTCTTTCTCTTTATTTTACACCACCTCCTCATCATCATCTCTAGTTATACTCAGTGGACAAATATTAAGAGTTGGTCGCTCGCTATGACGCTATCACAAAATAACATAACCATGAAAGAGAAGTAAGCACTTGTACTAAATATATAAGGACTGACGTGTTGTAAAAATGTGCTTGGTGCAGCAACTAATTTGTGTAACATTTAAATTTTGATGGTTCGTTTCTGCGGCTGGGAAAAGTTTCGGGAAGGAAATTGTTGCAGATGTGAATTTATGAATGCAGTTAAATGTAGGAACGTGGTATAATTTGTGCACCCGCGCTTTGCTTGAACGGTCGAGTTTCTGTGGGTACAAAAGTCTAGACAGTGGATGATGCAGCTGTGCATGACTGTATGTGGTGTTCAGACTATTGCTCCTTTTCCTTTTCGGTGTTGTTGTAGATTTGCTGGTGTGTTTGGGAAATCATCTTCCTATTGCATGAGCCAATTTCAGCCACATTTTAGCTGTCAGACAGAGGGCCTCACGTTTGACTCGAGCATATTTTGGTAAACAGATGAGTTCATCTTCAGCTTAGTAACTGCAAGATCCTGTGTCTGCAGAATAAACCCAAATCATCACCTCTCCACCGCCATGCTTGACACCTGCTATAAAGTGTTGGTGCTGATATGCTGCTTTTAGTTTTTACCAAATGTGGTACTGTGCATTATGGCCACCACTCCAAAGTATACTGATGCAGAAACCTTGTAGGGTTATCAGATGCAAGTTTGCAAAGCAAAGCTGCGCTAACATGTTCCTTTCTGCAGACACCCATATTTTTCAGTCGTTTTGTAATTATATTGCCATGAAGTTCTGCTTTTTATAGGGGTGTTCACACTTGCTGATCAAGTGTATTTGGTTAGCAGCAGTTGGCTCCTACTTGCCCTGTTATTTCCTATAGAAGGAAAAAGGGCGTACTTAGTTTTTCATGGGACTGCATAGTGGTGTGAAAACGCTCTTTTCCACATGATTGCATGTGGTAAGTTGTATTTGACGAACAATCTCATAACAGAGTTTTGATCTTATTTTATCTCATGTGCATTATTTTTTCCAGCGTGTAGCATCATACGAAATCTCTTATTGTTGCCTCTGCTGACCCACTGCTTCTCCACGTATGCAAATGACCTCTGCTGAGCCCTGACCATAACACCATGGAACACATATAGGCTAAATGTGACAGTGAGTTTCAGCTTATGAGTCAGCATCACTTCAAAGGCTTGCAGGCACATTCCACAATTCTCTGGAAAGCCTACATACATGTGGAAAGCATTATGGCACCATATCAATGCCAATTGCTTTTGAACACCATGTACAACAATCAATCACAGTAATTATCTTGTGGTTTGTAATGAAGCAATATCTAATGCCTCAAACAAATTACCATAAAAATACTGTTTAAATAGATTTCTCGCCCCTGCAGGACAAAAAGATAAATTAAGCTGAAATTCATCATCACTGTGGCAGCACTTACAAGGAGGCCTGGCAGGAATGTGTGGTTAGAGAGTGTTTTCTGGTTGATAAACAGGGAGTTATGACCTGAATGTGGCTGCAATAATCCTGCTTACTGGTATTAAAGGCTCGAAAGAACATGGTCCTCAGAGAGTGAGAGGAATAGACACGGAGACAGACTGGCTGGAAGAGAGATTGGAGATAAAAAACAAAAAAGGGAGGACTGTCATTTCCACTGAGATCACATGTACCCACAGTTACAAGTGTCTTGTGGAAGCACGGTTCAGTCGGAGGAAAAGTCTATTTGGACAGACAGTTGGGATGCTAAGCTGTGGGAGTTTCCCACTTGCAGAAGAATAACCTTGAGTATTTGTCTCACCAACAAGGCCTTGTGTAATACCTTCTGATGTAACACTGGGAAGCTCTGGCGTCACCACAACTTGATTGCTGCTCTAGGAGGATTATTAAGGTCAAACACTAATATAAATAAAAACCAGCCACTGTTGCCGCAGCTGATCTTAATCATTATGTGGGATTCAAAAAAGACGCATTAGGATTTTTCTATTTTTATCGTCCTGTGGTATTCCTGTAGTTGTTTGCTTCTACTAATATTGAAATCATATATTTTATCAGATGAATTCAGCTAAATGAAAAAAATTCCAACAGTATAGTACAGACATCAGTAATTACCCCATACACGGGGTCAAAGTTAAAGGTGCCGATGCTGTCCTTTGCTACACTTTATCCAGCTGTCTTTAACATTGATGGAAAGAATGTAGCAGACGCAGCTATAAATCTTACAATTTGTCTTTTAATCTTTTATATTGTTGTGTTTGATTTATTCCAATTTTACTTGATTAGTCACAGCAATAGCTGGATCCTATCCCAGGGATAGGTAGGGTACACCCTAGACAGGTTGGCAGCCTGTTGCAGGGCCAAGACAGACAGAAAACCAGTCGCGCGCACATTTACCTATGACCCATTTAGAATCACCAATTAAACGGAGATATGACCTTTGCATGAGATTAAAGACTTTGCCAATGACAGGAGTTTAAAATTACATCACTTCATTCAATCTGAGTTGCATGTCATTTTCCATCATTTACCTTCACTGTTTAATCCAGAAGTATGAGGATGATAAGTGACAACTGTCCAACAGCTAGCTGTGGGCTATCAGATTTAAAGAACTGCTGCCTTTAAGTTTAACTGTTTGCTGACAGAGTGCTTGATTTATCCGTTTTGTTGCCTCGACCTTCTTTTTGGCAAACTTATACAAACGTCATGTGGACTGCTTTTCAGAAACGTACAGTGCTGTGGAAATTAAATGTCTGTCAAAGTTAAATACGTGATTTTTTTTAAACAAGCATTCATCTTTTTTTTTATTTTTTTTTTTTATATTTTTATTGAGAGACAAGTGTACAGTAGTTTACAATGACAACACAATCTGTTCCCCTCACATATTTTTTAGTTTTTCTTACATGAACAGACACAATAACACACACACAGGCACACCTACACACACGCTTAAGTAAACAAACAAAACAAAACCTAATAAGAAACCCAAAACAACACAAACCCCAAAAGGGGGAAAAAAAAAAAAAAAAAAAAAGGGGGGGGGAAAGAGACATGATATTAATCAGCTGGTAGAGCGTTTAATGACTTGCAATAGTCCACGAAGGGGCCCCAGATAGAATAAAATTCTCTGTATTTGCCCTTCGCCACAAGGCCTATCTTTTGCAATTTAAGAGATGACATCACATCTCTAAACCAAAAAGAAACTGAAGGTGGCTTTGAAGATTTCCAAAGGAGTAAGATGCAACGTCTAGCCAAAAGTGATGTAAAGGCTAATATTTTGAAGTGTGTAGGGTCGGTTAGACCAGTGTTGACTGGAAGCCCAAAAACAGCTAGAAAAGGGTCCATGCAGATTTGGGTCCCAAGAGCTTTGGAAAGAATAACTGAATACTGACTCCAGAAGCCATGGAGTCTTGGGCACAGAAAGAACATATGGCCTAGGTCACATGGGGTGGCATGACATCTCTCACACTGATCCATCACTTGTGGGTAAATCTCAGACAGACGAGACTTTGAATAGTAAACCCTGTACAACACCTTGAACTGGATGAGTTGTAACCTGGCACAGGACGTACTATAACGGACATTGGATACTGCTTTCTCCCATTGCTGATCCGAAAAAATTATTCCTAACTCCTGCTCCCAAGCCCCCCTAATTTTAGCAACGGAATGGACATTTAAATCCATAAGTTGTTTATATATTAAAGATATAATTGACTTCTTATTGGGTTTAAAGGATAAGAATTCCTCCCACGGTTGGACATTTGGGAGAAGAGGGTAGGAGGGGAAGAGAGCAGAAGTGCAATGCCGTGCCTGAAAATAACGGAATAGATTGGTAGCCGGAAGATTTGTTTCTGAACACAGGTTTAAAAAGTTAAGAAAGTGCCATCTTTATAGAGATCCTTAAATGTATTAATACCATGACGCTTCCACTGTACATAGGTACCATCAATGAGGCCAGGAGTAAACAGATGGTTCTGCGTGATGGGCATGTGTACTGACGCAGAGATGTACTTAAAATGACTCCTGAATTGTGACCAGACCCTTAGACTAGACTGTACCACGGGATTTTGGGTGAAATGAGAAGGCTTAAGTGGTAGTGGAGAGAATAATAAAGCTTCTAAGGATGAGGAAGTGCACGACAGGCGTTCCAGTTTGCACCACAGCAGGTCTTGAGATTCAAGCCAATGGGTCAATTTGTGAACATGAGAGGACCAATAGTAAAATAAAAAGTTAGGCAAGGCAAGACCACCATCAAATGTCAGTCTCTGTAATAATGATTTCCTCACCCTGGGGTGTTTCCCTCCCCACAAAAACGATGTAACTAGCTGGTCTAACTTTTTGAAAAAAGCTTTAGGTAAAAATATAGGAATACTCTGAAACAGAAATAACAATCGAGGCAAAATGTTCATCTTTACAGCATTGATCTGACCAATTAGGGACAAAGGTAGCGATTTCCATCTCTGAAAATCTGATTGAATTTGAGTCATTAAAGGGGAGAAATTGGAAGAGTATAGAGAAGACAAAGTACGAGTCATGTTAACTCCCAAATATTTAAAGCCAGCAGGGCTAAGTCTAAAAGGAATGTCAGACTGTTTAAGTGTAAGACTTAAAGAATTTATGGGGAAACATTCACTTTTAAGAAGATTTATTTTGTAACCTGACAGAGAGCCGAACTTGTTTAGTAGAGACACAATCGATGGTATGCTAGATAAGGGATCAGAAACATATAGAAGCAGGTCATCTGCATATAAAGACAATTTTACGTCAAGGCCTGACCGGGAAATACCACGAAAATGAGGAAGGGCCTTCAAAGCTACAGATAGGGGTTCAATTACAATAGCAAAAAGTAGGGGGGACAGGGGGCAACCCTGTCTCGTCCCGCGTGACAATGAGAAGTAGCCAGAGGAAACACCATTTGTATAGACACTGGCTTGGGGTGCCCTGTACAACAGTCGAATCCATGAAATGAATCTGTCCTTGAAACCAAATCTTTGCAAGACCGCAAAGAGAAAGCTCCACTCTACACGATCGAAAGCTTTCTCAGCATCAAGTGAGATAACTACTTCTGAATTAGTGGTTGAGTGTTGGGAAAGAATGACATTCAAAAGCGTGCGGACATTAAAGAACAGCTGGTGGCCTTTAATAAAGCCATTCTGTTCATCTGAAATAATAGTAGGAAGAACCTTTTCAAGGCGAATTGCTAAAATTTTAGCCAAGACTTTAACATCAACATTCAGCAGTGAAATAGGCCTATATGAGGTGCAAGACGTAGGATCCTTACCCTTCTTTAAGAGAACAGTAATTAGTGCTTGAGACAATGTAGGGGGCAATAGACCACGTTCAAAAGATTCATTATACACTGAAAGAAGTAGTGGGGCTAACTTGTCTATAAAAGTTTTTAAAAATTCAACTGAAAACCCGTCAGGTCCTGGTGCCTTACCATTGTGCATGGTCTTGATTGCATGCACAATTTCATCCAGCCTAAGAGGGGCATCTAATTGTTCAGCTTAACAGGATCGACAGTGGGCATTGTAAGAAGCATTCATCATTTAAAAAAAAACTTGAGTAGAGGTTCAGAAGTCTGAGTAGATGAGTACCAAATGTCACCTATGACCCCGGGCCTCGGACCGGTACCGGTCCGTGAGTCGTTTGGTACCGGGCCACGAGAGTTGAGGCTCAGGTGTGAAATGTATGGTTTTCAGGGTTATTTTGTTATCGTTTTTATCGTTAACTCAGTTTTCCTGGGTCTTTTCACGTGTGTTATGAATAAATCTTCATTTTTTCGGTACCGGTACTGGTTTTATTTTGTTGTATTTATCCGCGACACCTTAAAGGCCGGTCCGTGAAAATATTGTCGGGCATAAACCGGTCTGTGGCGCAAAAAAGGTTGGGGACCGCTGACCTATGATATCATTACAGGGTTGTGATCTTTGCTTTCCTGTGCTTGTCCACTGTGTATCACTCTCACAGGGCCAAAGTGTCTAAAAAACCCCAGTCAAATAAATCTAAACAAAACTACAGCAAAGGCCAAAAACTACTAATATATACTAATACAGTCAAACTTGGTGACAGAAAGATGAGAGAAAAAATCATTTCCTTTCAACACCACAAGAGCAAAAAACTAATGTTTACATCTATATTCAGGGGTGCACTTAGGTGGGCCGCAGGTGCGCATTCGCTGTCAAAATAAAAGACGCGCACCAGATAAGACGTTGCAACGCGCGTTTGCGTCCATATAAAAAGCACTGTTTTTGTCCGCTAGAGTGGGATTTTCATGGCACATTCCGCACCACATCTCTGTGTGTTCATCATTTGTTTGAAGCCAGCTCACCTCCTGCAACCACTTTTCTGAGAATACGAGCTTCTTTTGCGGTTCGGACTCCTTCTGACATTTCTTTGGAGGTGGAGGAACACCAAAGTAATTGCTTAAAGGAGCTTGCTTCTTCGACATCTTTAAGAGTTCAAAAAACTTTTGTCCTCCTCCAGAAAATCTTATGTACGCAAATGCACGTTGCAACTTCTTATCTGGTGCGCGTCTTTTATTTTGACAGCGAATGCACACCTGCGGACCACTTATGTGCACCCCTGTCTATATTATTGATATTACCATCTTTGCTGCCAGGATTTATGAAACTGTCACTAAGTGTAAAAAAAGTGAATTTTTCAAAGAGCTTCCTAAAATACAGCACAACAGAAATCATAGCAGACAAACTAGTCGCAAATACAGTGCTGCAAAAGTCTTCGCCTTTTCTTTTTTGTTGGGTTTTTTGACTCGACCTACCTGCAGATGGTTGTTCTTGCCTGAAGCTCCTGCTACGTCCCATTGGCTACAAGACTTCTTGGGAATCCTGTGGTTTGTGCGACTGCTGAAGCCACCGCCCACCTCATCATACGGATTCTCCATCAGGTTTTCAGGCAGGTTGTTTGAGCTCTGGCTCCGGGTGATTGTGGGAACTACCCTGGAATTTGTAGGTGCTGTTTCTGCTGTGGAAGTAGCTTGAGAGCCAGGGACCATAAGGTGGCCTGATGAGGAGGTGGGTGAGTTGGAAGCAAAGGTGAATCCAGAAAGGGGCAAAGTTGGGAAGTGACCTCTATCCACGCTGGTGTTGTTTTTCAGACCTTGGAAGACACTGTTGGAGTTGAGGTTTTCCATGGAGTGATAGAGGAGTTTGTTCACTGCAGGAGAAGATGAAAAAAACGAATACTTCCACATTTGTTCTAAACGTATTTGTCTGTAAGTGCAAAAGCGACACAGCCAGCTTTGTAACTAAAAAGCCTCAACCACAGGTAATTTTAGTAACTGCCTCTGACATACTTTAACTTGCACTTTACCTTGGCGCTGTTCATTATTTGTAGCTCCGGTTGCGCTGGGAGACAGTGACACTCGCGGCAGTATCCTAAAGTTGGTGTTCAGTGAGGCAGTTGCAGTCAGCCGCTGAGGGGAGGGCATGGGCGCGATAGGTACCTCGGTCACATACGTGGCAGGAACATACAGCGGCTTTGCTTTACTGGCTGCCCCGATCCTCCGCACCTGTCAGAGAACAAACAGAATTCCAAAGGCTTTCTCTCTTTTCTGCTACATAAATGCTTTCAGTCCAACCAAGCGGCAACAAACAGCTGAAGGCTGAAGGGGTTGCGGAAATGTTTAATGATACAGCTCATTTTGACATCAAGCACATGCAACGAGTATACCCGCAACTTCCTTTTTAAAAAAATAACATCCTTTTTCTCAGCCCACATCATTTAATGAGCTCAGTGGCTAAAGTGAACAATAACTGAGTAGTTTTTCCAGTGTAAGAGTTACATCTGAATAGCTAGTGTGCAGTATTTTTTCCTTTGATGTGACCGGATGTGCGTTACAGTTGTGAGTACTCTTGCCTCATAGAGAGGAGGTTCTCGGTTTGAATCATGTGGCCGGCTGGGGCTTTTCTGTGTTGAGTGTGCGTTTTCATCCGTGCTTTGAAGTCATCGTGGTGTCAGTTAAATACATGTGTACATCGTTCATTCATCGTCGGCTCACTGTTGTGTTCCAGTCTACTGCTGTATTTTATGCAACAGATGACCATTTAAATATTTAGAGCTACTTTTAAATTCACAATGTAACCCAATGTGACAAAGCATACCTTTTTTAAGAAACACACACACGGACACAACTTTGATCTTGGAGTTAAGCACCTTAAATAACTAAAGCGTGAATACAAATGAGCCGTATTTTGTAGCCCATCATCAACTGTATCTTTTTATGCACAAAAGGTAAAAACACTAAAGTTGTATCCTCCGCCATAGCTCCTCTGGCAGGCCTCCTTTCTCCTCGGCCCTCACGCTTCTGGGTTCATTTTACGAACAGAGACATCCTTCAACACGGCATACCAAGACTGATTTCTAGGTCACAGACAGGAAGATGGAGGAGAAAGGAGACATACAGGCACAAAATAGCTAAAAGGAGAAAAGTCGCTAGACTGTGGTGCAACGTTTTACATGTAAATCTATTGTAGTTGTACAATATAGGACAGGCCTGCCATTGTTGCTATTTCTTAAACTAAACAAATTTCACAATTTGGACAGAAGTCAGGATTGAATTTAACCTACAGGCAGTTTATTTTGAGGCAGTTCTAGATACACGGTGCCCACAATGTAAAGTTACTCATTAAAATTTGTTTTTACTGTAAAAATATTATTGTTATGTATATGAAAGATGGACATAGGACTATGATGCCCCCCACTGGTTTCTAAAGTTTCAACATTGGCTAGAGTGTTGTCATTCAATCCGATATCACAGGATTTCACAGCAAAGAGTGTAACTGAAAAACTGGTCCACTGTGTGGATGTCATATTTTATCAGACATCTAGTTTAATCGTTTCTAGCATAAAAGGAGCCTGGAATGTCCTTCATACCCACCTTGGTCACGAGCGACTTGTTGGATTTAAATATATAATCTCTCCCTGATGGTACTGTAACGTAAGCATGCGTGTCCGTTTCACATTTAAGGCAGCCAATGCATGATATCCACACAGTGGTCCAGCGCGTCTATCACACACTTTTCCATTAAAGTGTATGCATCAGTTCATGGTTAAGGTGCATCACTAGAGACAGACATGTATGCTAATTAATGCTAAATATGTTTAATCTTTACAGGCTTGGGGAAACCTGCAGTCAGCTGAGACTGAAGAAGTCACCTGGATGAGTGACGAAACGTTTCTCCCACTGAAAATGCTACATCCAGATGAACAGAATCAACCTTTTGGGATTTACCTACCTGGATGATTGAGTATGCATCAAGACACCCTAATGTTAAGGCTTACTAAAGTTTGAAAGAATGAGTTGTAACAAAATAACCTCATGCAAATGTGTTCTATAGGACCATATAAGTGAGAGACCCAATCTGTTTCTGTATCGGGCTGTAAACATGTTTCTTTCTACTGTAAAGGAAGGAAGTCTTTGTCACTTATGTGTTGACATCCTTTTTTAGCCCTGCAACATCTTCTAAGGCTTCTAGTAAAATATGAATTTATCCTTCTCAGAAACCTACAGTATGTTGCTCTATTTATACATGTTTTTGTTTTCATGACATTTATGAGTCCACTGACGCAAAAGACAGAGAAAATGAAAAAAAAAAATTCTCACCTGCCACCAATCAGCGTTCGTCTTCTTCAGGAGAATGAAGCGTTCACCTTCCCGTATGCAAACCTGCCGTCCGTCTGCTCCACGGTAGCTGTAGTCATACTGGGCCTCGAGGACCACTGTACCACTGGGGACTCCACACACCGTCATCCCCCTGCTGTTCACTACAGATCCTGCAGCAGGCTGCTGATGACCAAAAGAGCGCCGCCAAGAACCAGAGAGCATGGCTTTCCCACAGTCCTGTTCAGCAAGCTTTGCTGGAAGTATGCTGATCTGTGATTTGAGTTGGGACAGTGCAGGGTAGGCAAGACAGGAGCCAGGACTTTGCCATGCTCTGAAACAGGCACATGGACAGACAAACACAGTGTGAGAGAGAGGGAGAGATTACCACAGCTGTGAGAGAACAATGTAGAAATGTCACCTGGTGCTGTGCAGGTTCAAAGAGAGCGAATCTGAATCCTTTCAGAGCTAAAAATGGAAGTCTGCATTAAGCTGTTGAAAATCACCAAGCTATAAAAAATATCTCTATTTTAGAGTTGGCAGGGTTTTTCTCTTTGTGAAATTTCTCTTTCAAGTCATCTCATCCAATTGTCTTTTCTGTTTTGCATCAATGTAAAATTTATATTTTTACATTTTGGAATTTGCATTGGTCCTTACATTAAGCAAGACTTTATTTTGATCTTTAGGCATTTATTGCATTTTTTTTATTTACTAACAACTGGCTTTTAATAATCCACCAACTGCACAAAAATAGCTCAGTGACGGCATGGATCACTGCAATAACATTCACAAATGAATAAAATAAACTTTTCTTTCCCACTTCCTATTTTGCTATATTTAGTAGACAAGCAGGAGGATGAAGTGCTGATATTTGTACACAACCACAGTGCACCACTTTTCTATTGTCCTTTCATCCTGTTAGAAGAGACCCATGTGAGTGAATAGCTCATGCGTATGGAAGATGTAAGGAGCGCAGTATACCTAAAATAGCATCTGTCTCCATCTCTCCACCTGAGCCAGCATCCCTAAGCTAAACCCTTGCTTTATGCAGCCAAGACCCGCTTACATAAGAGAACATCTAACTTTCTGCCAGACACATAGAAATACAGCCTCACACACTGACAGTAAATACACCCACCATCCCTACAAGCAAATCTGCAAACACACGAGCATGAACAGAAGGGGAACATCCCGAGCTACGTAGCAACAGTCAGACCTGCTGTACCTCACGTCACTGAGGATGGGAGAGTCCAGGGATGCAGGACAAGACAAGAGAAAGGAAAAGGTCTGGAAGCTGGGGATAAGCCAAATGATACAACAAGACCACATTGTTAGAGCTAGGTGAGAAAATAATAAAACCAGAGTAGTAGAGGAATGGAAGAAGCTTAACAGAGCTGTGAGCTGATGTGAGGGCGGCCAGGGATAGCTGGCTGAACCTTGATAATCCGACTGTTATTAAAGCACGGGAAAGAATATGTAACCCCCCACGGCTATAGAGAATTGCAGTAAAACCCGTCTGTAACAGCATATGGGTGGAAGAACTGCCTGCCTGGAAGACAGTCTGGCTAACACTAGCAGGAAGTGCACTGGAAGGCACACAGGAGCATTTCATCAAAATGTAATGAATCTGAATAAAAGCCATACCACGTTATGAATAGAATAACTAAAGAGACATCGGCTAATGTTAGAAAAATGGGAAGCAATTTAAATTGCGAAGTAGCTATTACGCATTGATTTTCACATAAAAATATTTTGCACGCCTTCAAATTAATATTCTTTTACTATATGAAGCATTTTATGAAAAGTGCAATACAAGAGATGAGAATTGCTGAAAAATAGAGTTTTACTGTATACACAAGCTGAAAAATAAATCATAGCTGTTGTTAATATTCACTCACCGACCACTTCTTTAGGTACGCCTGTTCAACTGAAATATATGATAAGCCAATAACATGGCAGCAAAATGCATTTAAGCATACACACATGGTAAAGATGACCTCCTTAAATTTTAAATGAGGATGACGGAGGATCAGGAAGTGATTTAAAGGACTTTGAGCGTGGAAGATGGGCTGATCCGAGTGTTTCAGAAACTGCTGATTTATTGAGACCATCTCTAGTGTTTACAGAAAATGGTTAGGAAAATAGAAAATACCCAGTGAGCTACAGTTCTCTAGGTGACAATACTTTGTTGATGCCAACGGAGGATGTCCAGACTGCTTTAAGCATATAAGAAGGCAACAATAGCTCAAACACCTGCTGACTGCAACCAAAGTATGTAGAAGAGATCTTTCAGAATACACAAAATATTGAAGTTAGAAGCAGATGGGATACAGCAGCAGAAGACCACACTGGATGTAGGTTAACAAGAGGAAACTGAGGCTACAAATCATGTTGGCTTTCCTGATTGTACCAGTGGTTTAGGCTGTTGGTGGTAGTGTGATAGTGTGGGGGATATTGGGGCCCCTAATACCAACCAGTCATTGTTTAAACACCACAGTCTACCTGAGTAATTTTGATGACAAATCTGCAGCAACTGTGTGATGCTATCGCATTGATATGGACCAAGATCTCAGAGGAATGTTTGCACCTTGTTGAATCTGTGCCACAAGTAAGACAGTTTAAGGACAAAAGGGGATCCAACCTGATACTAGAAAGATGTACCTAATAAAGTGGGCAGTGGAGAAATATTTAGAAATATGACTGCGTTTATAAATCTTTTTTAATTGTCTGGTGTTCATAGACGTCTTTGCTAGAAAAAGCAAACACTGATGCTAGAATGTATTCTGACTGGTAATGCAGTAATTTCATCTAAAAATACACCTGGCAGTTTGTTACAGGAAATGATAGTGTACTAAAAAGTTTTTCTAACAACAAATAGAGTCATAACCTTGGTGGCTCTGATGTTAAACCCCCCCCCAAAACTTAGCTACACTATTTAAAAGTGCAGCTAAGTTCAGGAGGGACAGAGGCAGAAGTCAGAGGCACGAGGCAAGCAAGCAAACAGGAAACAGCATGCACGCAGCAAGGTTCAACCACAGTTTGGGTCATATCCTTTCCATCTTGCCATTTGTTTTTCTGACTTGCCATATCACTGGGAGTTTTAGTTACAGTTTGTAAAATCTAACGGCCAAACAACTGCTACGTTTCATGCAAGTGCTGATGAGTTGCACTGCAGTTACACAAAACTAAGCAGAGAGTGGTAGTTGTTTTTAGGCTTAACAATCTTGCTGCACGGCTTCGGTAATGTGTAATTTGCTATTTACATAAGCCAAAATTACAACTTACCCTTGGCGTAAAAAAGAAGATAAAAACAAACAGTAATCATATAGAGGGTCCAGGATGTGCTCTTCTCCACACACAAACAGGAAGAGCTTTAATGACGCTTCTGCACACCTGTTTGCCTTTTCCTGTCTTTACTCTTTGAAATTACTAACTGATAAGAAGACATCAAAAAATAAAGTAAAGGAAAAGCAGATTAGACTATCCACACGCTGCTACAACAGAGCCTGCATGGTTTATTATACTGTGTGCAAATTAGGCTGCTACTGCAGGGTTAAAGTCCTTGGTTGTATTAATCTGGATTTCAGTATGACTCTCCCAAAGGGCGACAGCTAAGTCAGTTTTCAAAGTGGAGACAAAGTATCTCAGCAAATTCTTTATAATTCCATGACTCAACATTTTAATTACCGTCACTGTGTATTATTCACATCGGCTATTTACTGAAATAATCCAAAAAAGGGTTACAATCTCAGTAGAATTTCAGAATTTTTTCACCAATAGCAAAATAAAAATATTTAAGATCTCACGTCAGCATCTACAAAAAGAAAATAAGACCAGAGTGTCTATTTGCAGGTCACATAGCAGCAGAGCGGGCACTGGCGTCATTCGCCCAAACAAAACAGTGAAGACCATATGGTGTCAGAGACAGACACAGGCACCCTGTCAAGGCTGTTGAGAGGCACGAGTGGTTTGTGCCAGGGACTGAGGGCTCAGGGATTGGTATCAACAACCAAATATGAAGGAATTTAGGAACGAAATAAAAATAGATCAAAATAAGTGAGGAGGGAGAAAAACTCAGTGAATGCTGCATTTGTCTGTCTGCCTTTGCTTGAGTGTTTCCACTTTAACTCAGACTCTGTGTGCATGCAAGTCAAAGTGAGTTGAAGGAGTGGAAAGTATACAATTTGTGCATGCATGCGAAACAGCCAGAGAGAGGGAAAGAGAGAAGGAGAGACTCACCGTGGTCCTGAAGTAAGAGTTTGTCTACATCAACAACATCACCAGCTCACTCGATGTTCAGAGCCACACATCTGATAAGCCTTAAACATACAATGTACAATAAAAATTAAGAGGCATAACCTTTTTCCGTGTATTAAAAAAATGGACACATACTAGCAGCTCCTGCAGAAAATCAAACAGAGGCTGTCTTTATCATTCATCCATGCACAGACCATACAAAACACAGTTAATCCCATGCAGGCAATTATCCTTCCTCCACTCACTGAACCCCTGCTGACCCTCCCATCCATCATTTAGCCAGCATTTTGCCCGTGCACTGAAAGCAACGAGAATGAAAGAGACAGAAGGAGCGTGAGCTGGATGTTACTCATTCATGCAAATAAACAATACTTAAACTTGAGAAGCAGAAACATAACAAGGGGAAGAAACCATGTGAGAGTCGTTCTGCGCTGAACAAACAAAAGCAACCAGCAGTCCAGCTGATTGATTGAACTATTGATCCAACTGGAAAGCTGGCTGGTCAACGCTTTCGCTGGACGTCAGAAATAATCTACACACCACCACACAGTCGTAAACACTGAAGCAGAGGAAAATGCATGCCTCGAAATCGTCTCAGGTTTCCTATTTAATACCTGGATAAGTTTCAGATAAGTCTAAAATGTTTCACATAGCACGCTGAACTACCAGTAAGAAGGACGTGGCGTTATACCATCAGTATGTTTCAGTCAAATCAGCAATCCGGAGAGGCCACTGGATTAAGTACTTTAGGGATTATACGCCTCCTTGGTAGCTGTGCATGTTTTAGTCAAACATTTTCCAAAACATTCATTCATATTTAAAATGACTTCTTCTGAAATGCATATCTTTTCAAAAAATACACACACACACACACACACACACATGTATATGTAGTATGTATATCATATGTACATGATATATGTACACATGACATATTACACAATATGTAACTATTCGAAACCGATATATCAAGGGACACAAGATGCATCCTCCTAAAATCCAAAGAGTAAGTATCTATAGTGTCAGAACACAGTGCTTCAGTATTGCCCCTTCAGCAGAAATAACCTTGTGATATCC